AGATTTTTCAAAAGAATTTGAAATTTCACGTACAAGTTGGATAATTGCATGTTCCGTCAAATTATTATTTTTTAAACCAAACTGGTTGGCGTATAACAAATTATTAGAAAGGAGATAATTGTATAATCTATTATACATAATGCGTTCTAGTATTTTTGAGAATGTGCAGAGGACGGAGATAGGACGATAATTACTGATATTTGTTTGATCTCCCTCTTTTAAAATTGGGGTAATTTTAGCAATTTTTAATTGATCCGGAAAAACTCCTTGGTGAATAGATGCTCCATAAACCTTAAAAAGTATATCTTTTAATTGTTCAAAACATTCTATAACTATATTACCGTTTATGTCATCTGATCCGTTTGCTTTGTTTTTTTAAGGGATTTGAATGCTTTTTCGAATTCATGAAAAGTTAGCTCAAAATATAATTCTGCCAGTAATTTCGTTCATTATTTGCCAATTGCGTTTTGTGTTATTTTTGAATTTATCTAGGAGTCTTGTGTAATAATTTTTTTTCAAGTTTTTACGAACTTTTTCAAAGAGATACTTGTAACTTTTATATATTTTCTCATTATCTAATGATTTTGTTTTAAGATATTTTATATACAGCTTCTGTTTAATCTTGGATGATTTTTTAAATCCTTTTGTTATCCAGGGGTTATTTTTATTTTTTGGAGTTATTTTTTTTTCAATAATAGGAACGTTTGCGTCATAAACGGATTAAAAGGTTTCATAAAAGTTATCATAAATTTTGTCTGCATTGTCATTGAAGTTAATATGCTTCCAGTGCAGTAAAGATAGTTGGTTTTTAAACAACTTTATATTTGTATGGTTAAAAATGCGTATTTTAATTTTGTTTATTTTATTTTTAATTTCAGAATTAATTTTTAACTTTTGCATGCTCATCTCAGAAGTTTGTTGCATACTGAAATGGCACGTGATGCAACTGAATTTTTAAAATCCTGATGACTTATGCAAAATGGAAACTGTTTGATATTTTGCAATATCTAATCAAGATAAAACTAATTGCTTCAATGTTAGAATTAGCAACTGCATGTGTTCTGTTTGTAACACATCCAATGACTGTTGTATCGTGTGAACTCTCCTTTTCAAAACTTAAGTTCATCAAAAACTATCGGTCAACGATTTCTCAATATAGACTTTTTGTATTGACTTAATCGACGATTCTGTATTGACTTTACTAGCAATAGAATATAAGAAAGCTACTCGGTGTAGTTAAGGCGAGTTACAAATTATTTGAATTCTTTTATTTGGAATTAGCATGGTTTTGTCAGCATATTATGTCCAAGCAAGATCTTTAAATGTTATATTTTTTTTGTTTCAGGATTTTCTAATATTTAAAGAAACTTTTCTCTTTTTTACATAATTTTCAAAACTTTTTTACTACCCCTAATAGTGAATCTAAATAACACCATTTTAGAGTCTTAAGACCAATTCCGCTCATCGGCATTAACATGAATTTAGTTAAAATCTTTTAATAGTTCTTTAATTTACAACTGATCCTAGTTCTGATCGGTTCTAACCAAGGCCTTCTTAAACAGGCCGCGACAGCTCAATTTCCGTAAAATTAGCGAAGGCCGACTTTTTTTACGGAGAATTAAAGTTTCAATGAGGATTTTGGTTGTTTGATTTAAACTATAAGTTATGAATTAAAAAACTTCCAAATGCAAACTTTGTATTTACAGATTATAAGCTAATTTGTGCTCAGCACTGGCCTAAAGATGCAGAATTAAAAAAAGTCAAAGGTGGTAGTTTTGTTCCAGTGCATCCTCCATCAGTCTTTAAAGGTATACCAGTGTCTTGTATTCCAATAGTGTCTAGAAAACGAGATGTCACTGGGTTAATATGCTCTGAAAGAAATAATTTACCTGATGAATTCGAAAACTTCAAAAAAATGGACGTTATTAAATTTAATTCAATTGTTAAAAATTTGAAGTCAATAATAAATAACTGTGAAGAAAAATTTTATTTTGTTGAAAAAGAAAAAAATATATGTTTAATATCATATGAACATTGTGGACCAGTACCTAAGTTTTCAATATATATAACTTTAGAAGATTCTGGAGATATTTATTTTACTGGATAAAGCCAACTTTTACAAATTAAACTGTCTTTTTTTAAAAAAGGAGTTAATAAATATTATTCTCAACTGGAGAATGCTGTTAGTTATGTTATTAATAATGAAACAGATTCTAAGCGAGCAAGTTATATTAGGCATCAAGTAGCTTTATTAAATAAAACAAACAATACACCATTTTCTTTAGAAGACATTTCTGAAGCATTGCATCTTTATTCAAAATCTTGTTTAGTATATTTTGATCTCGTTGAAAAGCTTGTTTTGCTACAAATTCTACAACAAATTTTCAAACAAGCGTGATAGAAGAGATAAATCAACAAATCATAATTGCAGGTGGAAAGCCTCTTGGGTTAATAATGGATAACTGTTGAGTAAACCAAAAAACATTTCAATATTTTAATGCAAAAAAAGTTCCAGCATACTATCTTTTAAATGACACTGTGCATATTTTAAAATGTATTTGAAATAATTGGATCACTGAACAATTACAATGTTTAAAATATAGATTGCTAAATGATAACGATACTGTGCGACTTGCAGAATGGAAATTTATAATTCAACTTCATGCTGCAGATAGTCGAATAGTTAAGTTGTCACCCTTAACACAAAAAGCTGTGTCACCAAAACCGATTGAGTGACAAAATGTTGGATTAGTTCTTAAAGTTTTTTGTGATGAAACAGTTGCAGCATTACATGTATAATTTCCTGAAGCTGAAGATACTGCACTTTTTATTGAAACAGTTGCTAAGTGGTGGCTTATTGTCAACAGTAAAGCAAAAGGTCTAGATATTAGATTAAATGATATTCGAAAAAAGCCTATTTCTTCAGTCAATGATTGGCAAATAGATTTCTTAGAGAACTATATTTCGTATTTTGCTGAAAATTTGAAATGTGTAAATTCAAAATTAAGAGAGAAATAGTTAACAATGGATACTGCAAGTGCTTTGCAAAAAACTTCTAAAAGATTAGCAAGCTGTGCCAAGTATTTGTTGAATTGCGGTGTATCTTATGTATTGTTTGGACATATGCAATCAGATGCACTAGAAAAACAGTTTGGGAAATATCGGCAAGGGTCAGGTAGCACATATCTGATAACTGTGCAAAATGATATTCAAAAATTTAGAATCGACAAAACTAGAAAGTTGCTAGACAAGCATACAGATTTTACAATATTTCCTCCTGCTCACCACCACTGTGATAAGTGTGAATTTTATGTTGAGTTTAATATGTCAATATGTGAAAATTGTGAGGATCACTTGCCAAATGAATGCAAACAAGGGCTTTTATATATTGCAGGTTTTATTGCTTACAAACTTCCAGAATTAGACTCAATTTTAGAAGAAACAGACACCTTTGATATGTTTCAAAAATATGGAACTTTGATCAGTTCTTTGAACAGGGGAAGCCTTCTGACAATTTAGTCTACTTTGTTTTTTATTGTTTTTTTATATTTGAAGTGACACTTGTGAATAAAGTTTCACCATTGCTGTGCAAGAAAGGATTAATTGACATTTTTATTAACTGCAATAGTAAATTTCAATATCTTGTTCAAAGTGTTAAAAAAGTTTGCTGCATTTTGGCAAACATTTTTTTAAACAATTATTGTAAAAAACACTCTAAAGATTTTGGGAAGGAATGTTTAATAAAACAAGCAAAACTTTCAACTTGAAAATAAAACACTTTGAGTCAAAAAAGTCAAAATAATTTTAATAAAATAAAGTTAATATATTTGTTTGTTTTTATCAAAAAATTTATTATTTGTATTACAAGTGTTAAACAGCTAAAATAAACATATAGTTATAAAAACGAGATTTAGTCATTTTTAGCTAAACTCCTTAAATTTTTATTGTAATTAACTTATTTCTAAACGTAAAAAAAATTCCTACAATATTTGCTTTCGAAATTCAATCAATATGTTTTGTCCTAATAAAGCTCTTTATTTGTTTCTGAAGTTTGTTTATAAAAGCAAAGATAAAAAATAATTTTAACCGTAAAAAAGTCGGCCTTCGCTAATTTTACGGAAAATGAGCTGTCGCGGCCTGTTTAAGAAGGCCTTGGTTCTAACGTATATTAACTAAACATAGTTGTCAAAACACAATATTTCTGTTATTTTTCACAAAAAAATGCTAGAATTAGAATAAAATAGAAAGAGATTATAATTAAGAAAATTTGACAATAAAAAATTTGAAAATAAATTAAGAAAAATTGACAATAAACGATCAGAACATTATTGTTAAACTATAATGCTCATTTCACCAAAAAAACGTATTTATTTAAAATTTTATTAAAGTTTGGACGGGGATTGTGATTTAAAAAGATTTTCTTTTTTTTAAAAAAAAAGAATCTTCGATCAGTGTTTTTTCGCTACATTTATATTTTATAATACCGCAAAACAAAAATTTTAATTTTATTCGTCTTTTCATAATTCACAGATCTGATTATTTAACGGAAATGTCGTAGTCAACAAAATATTATACAGACGCTATAATATTTTAAAATTGACTTAACTACACTGAGTACACTTTTGGATAAAGAAAAAGATTTTGCAAATAAAAATCACGTGCAAATAAATTTGCTAAATGAAAAGTTACTTAAGAAATGGTTTTCATAATGGGTAGTGGTTTAAAAAAAACACTTCCAGTGTGACTTACGCCTATGTTATGTTGTTATATTTTGAAGCAAAAATTTAAAACAAAATTTTGCGTAATTTTATGAGATTTTTATGAAATTTTAAAAACGTTTAGAGTTCCATAAATTTTTTTGTCAAGGGGCCCTCGAGTCTGTTGTTGCGGTTTAAAGGTCATATTTCTTAAACTAAAAACAATGCTCGTATTGTAGATTTAAAAAATATTCTTCCATATACATAATTTCATAAAGTTAAATAAAAAAATGAACCAAAATATAATAAAAACGAAATTCTTTATTTTTCACCAAATCTTATGAAATGTTTCATGATGAAATTGTTCAGTAAGTTTTAAAATCTTTAAATAACAATAAAAAATATATAAATAACATGCACTCTCGCACACACACACACACACACACGCAAAAAAAGAAAAAAATGAAGAAAAGAATGTTACTTTAAAAAAAAAGAAAATCAAAAAATATTCTATAAAACTTTTAAGATATTTAAAAAAAATTTTAAATCTAAAATTGAATCAACGTTTAGACCTAAAAATGTTATATTTATTTACAAGGAAAAAAGTTTACAAGAACAAACGTAAATTTTCTTGACAAAAAAAAAATATATATATATTCTTCGTTTAAAACTGACAGACATTAAATATATTCCTTATTTAAAAACTGACAAAAGTATATACACATGATGAAAACACATTGATACGCAAAAAGGTATAAACCGCTGGAACAAGAAAAAATTAATGATCACAAAACTTTTTAAAAATTTGTTATCATCACTGTGAATTTCGTTTTTTTATCTTGTAAACTTCGTTTTCTAGTTAATGGCAAGAAAAAATATATAAAAATTAAATGCTATAATAACGTAAATCCAATAAATATTTTAAACGATATATAATTTTTAAAAAAATTTGTAATTACCACTTCTTTTATTAAATTTAATCACGAATTAAAAATAAATTCGTCGGTAATCGCATTTAACAACTCGATTAAACATAGACATGAAAAAATAAATTAGTAATAAAAGAAAAATGCAGGGAATTAAATGAAAAAAAAAATTAATTATGTTTTACACAAAATTTGGATTGACGTAAGAAAACCCGCTAAACTCATCTTGAGCAAGACTCATAACAGTCTCTTTATCTACAGGTGTAAAACTTGGGTTCTCTCGTGTGAAGTCTGTGTCAAAATTAGCTACATCAGTGGGAGATTTCTAATAATGAAAATAAGAATGTAAATACTAAAAAAATAAAGAATGTAAATAATAAAAATTCTCTGTTAGGATTAATTAGGATTAAAATCTAATAAAAAATATTTACGATTTGAGGTTGAAAAGGTGGATGAATTTGTCTATTCTCTAGTTTTCTCCAATCAATACTTGCAAAGAACGGATGCTTATTTATAGCCACTTCTCCAATATCTGGGACACACCCCAAACGCTTTTCGTAGTTTTTAGTTAACAACTATAAAAAACATTGTAGAATTTAAAATGCTTGTTTTAAAAATCTCAAGAATCATTTAACTTCGTCCTTAGTACCTTTAACTTCGTCCCTAGTACCTTTAACTTCGCCCGTAGTAATTTCCTCCCGAGAACCTTTGATTTTTTTTTCTTTTTTATTAGGATTTAGAAGAAAAAACTTTATCAAGTTTCAATAAAGCTGCAACAAATTCGATTTAAAACAAACTTTTTATAAATGATGTTAGCAAAATGTGAAAAATACAAAACCTAATGTTTTCTATTAATTAACAATAATAACTTTAACAAACATAATCTAAAGGTTAAGTATTTTAATAAATTGTTTACGTTTAGAATTAATTTAAAACTTGAATCCAAATTTCACCGTATAAAAATCTCAAACTTTATTTTAGATAATTCAATTGCATATTTAGAATAAAGTTTAAACCCGAGTTTCAGCATATAAATAGGATAATTCAATGGTATTTAAAAAATTTAAAAAATTGAATTTTGTACTTTACTGAAACATTTAAAATTATTACTGAATTATTTAAACAATATAAAAAATCAAATTAAATTACTCCTTTAAGGATGGATGACGCTTCTCGTGAAAGCCACACTGGATATAAAACTTCACTTGATTGAATGCGTTCAAATAATTCATCTTCATTATCAGCTTCAAATGGAGGCTACTCAAAAAATATAACTACATTTCATAAAAAAGTATATATGTTAATATATATATATATATATATATATATATATATATATATATATATATATATATATATATATATATATATATATACACTCTTAAAAAAGTTCAGGCAAACTCTGGCCGGAATGGTTCAGGTAGAAAGATTTACCTGAACATTCAGGCAATTAAATTCAAACATTCAGGCAAATTGCCGTAAAAGTTCAGGTATTTTAGCAAACCACCTGAACACTTTGTGTAAAATTCCTGAAATGTTCAGGAAAAAGTAGTTTCGTGAACTTTTCTACCGGAATGTTCAGGTTCTTTACCGGAAACATCAAGTAAATGGCAATCGCCATTAAACTTTTTAGAGGTCGCATGTGCATGCATTCTCTTATTTTAAATTTTTTTAATAAAAATGAGCTTTAAAAAGTTGTCAGAGTTACAGTTAGCAGAGTATTTGTTATCAAAAGGAATATCTATAGATGCTACAGAAAAGCTTAAAAGTAAGCTACCTTTTCATATTTTTCCGAAAATATTTCGCGTACGTCCGTAAAAGAGATGTGTATTATGTATATAATATATATAGTCTTGAGAACAAGAGTAGTGATATATAATTCTCTTTCTCTATATACTATACACTTCTCTTGTTCTCAAGACATATTTGAATTATATACATGTATGTATGAGTGTATAGATATAAAGAAGGTAAGATATAAACATATGATATAGTATATCATATTATTAACATATATACTATATAATATATAGTATATATATAATATATAACATGTCACTATATATCACTGTATATACTATACATATATACTATATATATATGATAATATATTATATAAATAGTTTATTTATAATATAATTATAATGATAATATATTTATCATATTAGTATGATATACACTATATATAGTGTATATCATACTAATATGATAAATATATTATCATTATAATTATATTATAAATAATATAGCATATTAGATAATAATAGTATAATAGTATAGTATTAGATAATAGTATATATTATAATATATAGTATAATAGTATAGTATTAGATAATAATAGTATATTAAATAATATAATATAATAGTATACTACAATATAATATTGAAATAGTATACTATATCGATATCATATTGTATACAATATGATATCGATATAGTAAACTATTTCAATATTATATTGTAGTATACTATTATATTATATTATTTAATATACTAGTATATTATAATATTATGATAGTATATTATACCGATATCATAAATAATTGTGATTTTAAAATAAATACAGAATGTGACTATAGACTATATGGTGTTTATTATAAAAGTTATGTATTATGTGATGTGTATAATTTATAAACTTTACAAATAAAAAGATGTGCATACAATGAAATTTATAAGTTTCATTGTATGGATATCTTTTTGTTTATAAAGTTTATAAATTATACACATCACATACTACATAACTTTTATGATAAACACCATATAGAATGTGATGTATATAGATGTCAAAATATATTTATATTATTTATCATATCGATATAGTATATTATAATAATATGTTAAATTTACAAAGTCTAACTTAGTTCAACTAAGTTTAAGTTTGTAAAAAAAAAGAAGTAAATAATTAAAGTAAATAAGTAATAGATGTGCACTTGGATTTTTGAATTCTACTATTTTTATAAAGTGCTGGTTGCAATAATTAGCCCAAAATATAACTGATTATTAACTGTATAAATTGTATTAAAATATGAAAAAGTGTCTTTTAACTCTATTGAAACAAAGATATATAGTTCTTTTACTAAATATACTATTGATTATTATTTTAGATGAAGAAATTGACGGGACAGCTTTTTTGGAGTTGAACGCATTATTGCTGCATGCAATGGGCATCAAAATGGGCCAGGCCATTAAAATTCAAGCCATAATTGAGGGAAAAAAGGTGAAAAATATAATTATAATAAAATATGGAGCTCAGAAAATATTATTTATTTTTTATTAAAAATATATTTTTAGTTAAATATAAATTATGATGATTAAATTAATGCATTAGTGTAACATTATTTTTATATTTTACATGATATTTTTCAGGGATTTTTACAACTGAGTTGTTACTTGTGCACAAAAAAATTTCAATCCACAAATGATTATACTTATCATTTAAGAAACACGCACCTGTTGTTTGAACCTTGTTTTTTACGATGCAATGCTGATGGTTGCATGCGCACATTCACACTTTATAAAGTGTTACATAAACACATTAAAAAAACTCATATGTGTCATAATAATTTGAAAGAAGTTGATAAACATTCAGATATTACTATCCAAAATACAGAAAATGAATACTTAGCTGAAGATTACAATGAGGTTTTATATTCTGAAAGTTTAACAAAAGAAAGTGTAGCAAAAGAAAGTGTTTTTGTTGCACCTATTGTAGACGAGTATGGTGTTTCACACACAGCATTAAAATTTTTGATGTCTCTGCAATCTTCTAGTTCCATTTCTCTAAGCGTATCTCAGTTCATAATGGATAGTTTAAATGAGTTGTTAAAGGATATTATTAATTATCTGCTTGCCAAGACAGACGTTGTGTTAAGAACATACAGATGTGATGCCGCAACATTTAATACTCTTTCAGAAGAATTTAACAACTGGAAAAATCCTTTTAAAGGCATTGATACTCATTATAAAATGTTGAATTATCTTAAAGTAAAAAGTCTCTATGTTGAACCTGAAACACATTCAATAGGAGATCGGTGGGATGTTAAGCGAGACAGATCAACAAAGCAACAAATGCAGATGTGTGTAAAAAATAAATTTTACCTTATACCAATTAAGAAAACTTTGAAATTGGTTTTGCGACAACCTGAGACTTGGAAAATTTTAAAAGAAACAATGAGTCAGCAAATGATATAGAAGAAGATTGGTTAGACGGTAAGCATGGGAGACAGCTAAAAACATATGCCAAACATTATTTTCCTAACAGTATTCATGTATTTATTCAGATTTATTTTGATGAGGTAGAGACAACAAATCCGATTGGATCCAAAACTGGAATACATAAGTTAGGTGCATTTTATTTCACAATAAAAAACTTTCCACCAGCTGCAAATTCTGCATTAAGCAATATTCATTTGTTGGCCTTGGCACATTTGGAAGACATTAAACGGTACACCACTGATCCTGTTATGGAAGTTATTGTTCAGCAATTAAAAGACTTACATGATGAGGGCTTTACTGTTTTTTGTGATGGAAAAGAGATAAATATTTGTTGTTTTTTAACACAAGTTGTTGGTGATAATTTAGGGCTACATGCAATTCTTGGATACATGGAAAATTTTAGCAGTGCTTCATTTGCTTGTGACTTGTGTATGGCAACTCAGGATAAGATGCAAAAAGTATTTTGTGAATATTCTCTTACAATGAGGACACAACAATCATATGAGCAACATATTGAGCAGCTTAATAATGGTACCATTTCATCTAAAGAGTGTGGCATAAAGCGTCCCTTAACTTTAAAAAGTTTGAACTATTACCATCCTGCTTGTAATGACTGCTTGTAATGACTATAATGCATGATTTGTTTGAAGGTGTAATTCCGTTTGAAGTCAAGTTATTTTTGCGCCACATAATTTATGACTTGAAGCTTATTAATCTCCATGGGCTTAATTGTCGTATTAATACAATGGATTATGGTTTGGTTAGTAACTCAAAGCCAAGTTTTATGAGTCACATTTAAAAAGTCACAGCTCATTGCTTGGACAAAGGTCAGCTCAGATGCTGATTTTGTTTTTACATTTACCATGTATTTTAGCTGATGTTATTGACAAAGTAGATACTTTAAAATGGCGTTTGTACCAATTGCTAAAACAGCTGACAGAAATTATTTTATTGCCAAACTCTGTACTGTCGCATGTTTTGTACTTAAAAGATCTTGTATCAGAGCATCATGAGTTATTTAAAATATGTTATCCTGATAAAAGACTTTTATACAAACATCACAGAATGGTTCACTATGGTACTATAATAGAGAATAGCGGACCACTTTTACATATGATGGTAATGCGGTTTGAAGCTAAGCATAACTTTTCCAAGCTTCTTGCTCATATCATTTGTAACTTTAAAAATATAGCGTTTTCTCTCGCAAGCAGACACCAACTTTCTCATGCTTTTGTTTGGATGACTAGATGTCCATTAAAGGGGATTTCAGAAGTTGGAAATGGAACAATTATTTCATCGTCAGATATTAAGCATAAGTCATTAGTTTTACCTTTTATTGGTGAAAAAATAGATGTGTTTATGACTGAAAAAGTAGTCATTTTTGGTCAAAAGTACCAAACTAAGATGTCTGTACTTCACTCTATTAGTGATGAAGGAGAACCGTCATTTGTTAAAATTGAACAAATATATGTTCATCACAGTGTAATTTATTTTATTGGATTTAAGTGGCTTGTCCACATGTATTGTGATCTGACTCTATCGTATTGTTGTTCTCTTGATTCAGAGCGCGTATGTTTGAGAGCAAGTGACTTAGCAGATTATAAACCTTTTGATGCTGTTCATTGTTTAAAACCTACATGTATATACAAGCATATTATTTTAGGTCACCATTTGTATCATTGCAATGCATTAAAATGATTTTTTAGTTTTATTAATTTTTATATTTTACTTAATTCTCAATTCTTAAGATAGCAGTTAAAGAAAAGCTTATTACTAAGTTGCTAAAAATAGTTTGGTTAAATAAACAAAATCTAAAAGTATTTATAACTCACTATAACGTGTCCAAAACAATATATATATATATATATATATATATATATACATATATATATATATATATATATATATACATATATATATATATATATATATATACATATATATATATATATATATATATATATATATGATTATAATACATTTTTATTCCTTTAATAAACAGAAGTAAATATAAACTGCTTTTTTTTGTAGAAAAACGATAG